AACACCTTCACACTTGCGAGGGTTCCGCTCAATTTAAAGAACTCATGGCCATTACCCTAGCTTTGTCCAAAGTAGATGACCCCATGAACTTGTTCTCTGACAGCCTATATGTAGTCAACCTTCTCCCAGGATTATTAAATTCTCATATTCGGCTAGATGACAACTCTATTACCGCCCCTAATGATCCAGGTTTGAACACTGTTAACAGAAAGAAGGGCCCCCATTTTCTTACAGCACCTTAGGGGCCACCAAGGACTGCCTGGGTTCCTCTCCCAAGGCAATGCAGAGGCAGACAAAATGGTGGACCTAAGAAAAACTGTAGATACCTGTAAGTCTTGTCAATGCTTTCTACAGGTGCCACCCCTCCAACAACCAGGGGTAAACCCTAGGGGGCTGAAGCCTAACTCTCTTTGGCAGACAGATGTCACACATTATGTTCCTTTTGGAAAACTCAAGTATGTTTTCGTGTCTATTGACATGTCTCACATGCCTGTTGGACTACCACCCACACAGGAGAAAAGTCTAAATATGCTCAATCTCACTTCCTCCAGTGCTTCGCTATGCTGGGATTACCTCAAAGGATTAAAACTGACAATGGACCATTCTTTTCTTCATAAGTAAAAGCTTACAGGACTTCTCTTTATGGGGAATCCACCATAACACGGGGATCCCCTATAACCCCCAGGGCCAAGCTATCATAGAACGTAACCATCAGGACTTAAAGTCCCAATTACAAAAACAAAGAGGGGGAGTAAGCTCCCACCAACAGCTAGGTTCGGCCTTATTTACCATCAGTATCCTCAATTTTCAAAAAGGTCAATTGGAATCTCAATTTCAAAAACATTGGGAGCATCAGGATCAAAGACCAGAGGTACAGGTCAGATGGAAGGATCTAATAGTGGGATAGTGGTAAGGACCTGACCTGCTCCTTACTACGGGCAGGGGGTTTGGATGCATCTTTCCCCGGATGAAGCCCCAACCCATCTGTGTACCTGCAAGGAATCTAAAGATGCAGGAATAACCCTGTCCCAAAGGTAACAGCCCTTTGAGAAGGATTTCTATGTCTTACAGGATGGAGTATTCTGGATGGACAGCTTTCATTGCCGTGCTCGCTGCTGCTGCCCTGGCCATCATCATCTTTATCGTTACCATCATTATTCAAGATCTGATCAATATATGGCTGACCAAAATCTGTCAATAATGATACTCCTTCTCTTGCTAGCCATTTGTCAGATAAAAGCCGAGGACCTCTGGGCCTTGGTCCCTTCCCGGCCTATACTCTTGCCATTCTCTTAAGTGAGGAGCTGGCAATTACCAAAGACATGGCTCTGCTAGCTTGTGACCCTTGCTTTAGGTCACTTTCTTTCACCCTTTCCATATTCCTGACCAATTAGATTATTGCTCTAAATTATACCCAAGCCCCAGTCCTATCGATGGACTCCTCCTTTTTTAGTAAGGTATGGGAGCATATCAAGGGGTTCTCGGACCCAACTTGGCTACTCTATGGGAGCATGTTTCTAATGCTTGTGCTAGCTTTTGTTCTCCTCAGGTGTCTCTGCTCAGTTATCAAAAGACAAAGACAGATGAAGAAAGTCCTGGTCCAACTTGCCCTGGCCACCCAATCCCCCTTGGGCCCCTCCTCAAGACAAATCCAGGCATGGATGCTTGAGCTAGCCTGAGGGCCCAGGTTGCTTTGCCCCCTTATGGGATAGACCCCAGTATATTAACCGCAAAAGGGCATGGTTGGTCCCAATGATGGGTAAGACCCTCCCAGACTGATGAACCCAAGACAGGGGCCTTGAGGGCAATCATGGTTACCCAAGGACAGGCAACTTCAGCACCTGAGGAGAAGCAACCTAAGACAGGGAGGCCATAGCAGCGGAGGGGGATGGCGACGGTGTGCCCCATCCCCAGGGGCTATCCTTAAGGAACCTCACTTTTAAAACAAAGTAGGGGGAGGGATGCGGGGGCCTGAGGCCAGGGGCGAGGCAGGATGGCGCCTATAGGAAATGGCTGGGGCGTGATCAGACTCGTTTGGCACCTAGAGGAAACAGGCGGAACATGGCCAAACTTGTTTTGAAGAATCACTGATTGGCTCCTGCCATTTCCATGCATCTTGGCAGCACGTGATCACCTCGCGAACGCTATGCTGTGCTATGGAGGTAAGACTGCATGCTCAAGTTCACCTTTACTATGATTGGATACCTGGTTGGGGAGGGGATTTTCCTTTGTGGTTTTTGTCTTCATAAGCCCTGTAATGCCTGTAATAAACAAGTTCCTGCTTGACTGGCTCCCTGTCGCATCTGATTGTCTCCTGGGGAGGCTCCAGGTAACGGGGTGGACAGTTCACCTCCCTTTCCCTGGCTCCTCTGTCGGGGCAGGATCCCCGACAAAGGTGTAAAGAGAACAAACTCCACAGTGTTGTCCTCTGGCCTCCACATATGTGACATGACATGAGTTCCCACCCACACCATAATAAATAATTTTTTTTTAAAAAATAGAAGCACAGTCTCTACTTTGTTGACTTTGAAAACTTAAGCTTGCATATTATAAGATGGAATGAAAGAGTCACAGAGTGAGGATCTGGGGATGTCTAGTGCTGATGCCCCAGCTGAGAGCCAACAAGAAAGAGGACATCGGTCCTTCAATCACAAGAGCTTACTTCATCCAAGAACATGGCCATGGAAGAAGGCTGATGGCTCCAGGACTGAACAGAGCCCACTGTATACCTTATTTGAAACTTTGTGATATTAGGCAACAGACCAGGTAAGCTTTGCCTGGAGAGACTCGAATGCTTATTATTTTAAGACACTCAGTTTATAATAATTTAATACACAATAATAAAAGTAATATAATAGTATATGGAGAAAACTAGAAGAAAAAACCATGTAGAGTATTAGAACAAAGACTATGCATGTTGCTCTAATGAACTCAGCATAGCTACTTCAAAACCGTGACCTGAGAACTAAGAAATATTATTTGTAGAATTTAAAGCTTTGTGTGAATATTAAACATTGAATACAAGTGAATTCCCTACTTATTTACGTTGCTTTTATAATACAGCAGCTGTCACAGCCCACTCATTGACAAGAATGAGACCTGCCACATGATGAGCCTAATTCTCAGCTACTGACTAGCAGATTTGAAAACTTTGTACTTGCCTGTACTCACTCACACAGTCTTTCACATATGAATGAGAAAGTAAGTATTGGAAATTAATAGTGACCCACAACCCATTGTCCTGGGTATTTGGAGACCATCTGCTAAACAGCATCCATGGAAGCTCATTTATTTAAGGTCAGACCAGAGCAGCTGCCTTGTCTGTTCTTAAACACTCTTCTACTGTGGATCCTGCCTTTTGTTGTTCACTTCAGTCCCTTACTGTGATGAAACTTTCTTTCTTCAATTCATTTGTTCTTTCCATTCCTTCATTAATCTAGATGTACCCTTTGCTATCTTGGCATTTTGTTGAAGACCCATAGCTGCTGCATCAAGGTCCCTATTATTGCATTCCTCCTGCATCTCAGAACAGAATCCACATTATCTATAAATGGCTACACCTTACAGTCAAGAAAAGCATTATCAGTACTCCCAAAAGTCTTGCAGCCCAGCAATAGTCTTTTTTAAAATTTTATGCATGTGTATATTGTATATAAGTACCCCATGTCTTGCAATACCTCCGGATGTCAGAAGAGGGCAGAACTCCATGGAACTGGAGTTACAGACAGTTGTTAACTGCCATGTGGGTGCTGGGGACAGAACCCCAGTCCTCTACAAGATCAGCCAGAGCTCTTAACCACTGAGCTATATCTTCAGCCCCCCTATAGTTTAATACAATGAACTTAGCTGTGGCATTTCATAATTTTCAGTGGCTTAGTGATGCTCTAGTAGATGATGAATAGTTTTAAGAACTTCACTGAGCACATTCTGGTTGAATTTTTATTTTTACAGCTTACAAAACAACTATACTCCTGTATAACAGGTGGTTTTCATTTCTTTATCACACCTGCTTCCCTAAAATGCAAGCAGGGCTTTCCTCCCTCCCTCCCTCCCTCTCTCACTCCTTCTGGCTTTTCTTTCCTTCTGGACTTCCCATCCTTCACTCCTTCCTTCTGTCTCTCTTTTTACTTTGCCACTATCAGTTAAAAACAGCAGAAACCCAACCATTCTCAAAATTCCTAGGAGTTCTTATCATAGTTCCTTACTCGGATAATTAAATAACTTTGAAGAAAAGTGCTTAAACTTCTTAGCACGTTACTCAAAATGTTAGTTTTTAAATTACTTATTCCATGCTGTTATCTAATAGGGTCAATTGCTAGTGTTCATAGTTTTTCTCTTACTGTCATTTCTGTTTTCAATCTTAATTCAATATCACATTTTCTCATGGTCCCTTTTCAACTTCAATTTACATGCATGTTCAATATCATCACATATAACCAGACTCCACCTCAATTTAAGGCTCAATTTCTCTGTCTTCTTTTCCCCTTCTTCCTTCTACTATGTTTCCTCATCTCATTTTCCTTCCCTCTCTCCTTCTGTCCCTCCTTTTCCTCTTCCCCTCCTCTTAATATACCTTCAAGCTGTTGTGTCCCCAATTATAACACAAAATTCTCCAGTAAATGAAAGGAAATAACAGGGAAGTTTATTTAAAGGTTCTATGATGGAGAAGACAGTTTAAATTCTGTGAAGAGCTATCACGTAATCAAACACTAATGAAATCACAAACATAATATTGATTTTAACATGAGAAAACAGTACATACTTTGATTGCAACTTAAACTTGAAATGGTGAGCCACAAATTTAGCAGTACATCCATAACATGCCATGAGATTGAATTCATGAAACTTGGTGTCAAATTTCCAGTGTCCAGAATTTTCAGCTCTCCTGAATTCATCACTCATGCTACATCATGATAAGGCACACATATCTACAAATAACTAAGCAAAAACTAGTCATAGCAATCTTCAACTAAATGAATTATCATATTAAGAATACTCACAATTTCTTTAGAATAGCAAGGAACTCCACGACCTTCTCTGTGGTTCTATCTTCTCCATATAAACTAGAACCATCATGTACTTTTCTAAGATAGATAGCTATGTTATGTGAATCATCAACTTGGGGTTTCTTTTCTTCTATATTTCCACCAGATTTTCTGAATAAGGAGACAATATGTATGATATTTCACACTACATAAAATTTATTTTCAGGAAGATTTACTTTATTATCAAAAGTAGTAAGACACTGTTCTGAGATAAATTAGCATTTTAATAACATGTACTTTCTCACTACCTCAAAGTTTTTCAACCAGCAGCATACTTATACTTACATTCCATTATACTCTAAGTCTAGAATTAGCATATATAAAATATTTCAGCATATAATTTGATCATATATATGATAACAAACATTTGAACTATCATTTGTAATATATAATGTTTATGCAATTTAATGAAAAATTTCAAGTAAACAACTGTCCTTTCCATTTCACTAAACAGACCTGTCTATTAGTGGTTTTACCACCAAGCATAACTTTTTAACTACTGTTTCCCAGTAGTAAACTATGAGCATCTTGAAAGTAGTCACTAACTTTATTCTTATGTTGTGGTATGTTATACACCTAAGTCCCCAAGAGATGTATGAATGGATGAGTATTTCTCATTCAGTTTTCAAAAAAAAAATCTGGTTAAGTTTCTGAAAACTTCAGGTACAGGAATGTAAACGTGGTGTCAATATTTAAGAAGGAAATGGGAGATAAAATAACCCAAGTGAAGATTAAGTTCAGATGATGGATTGGGTCCTCGATAGACGTAGGATATCATAGGTCCTTGATAGGCAAAGAATTTCAATAGTTAAAATGTAAGATATGTGGACTAATGATCATAAGTTATCACGTTGATATCCAACATTTACTTAGTGCTTAAATGTGCAGTTCCTCCACTGTGCATTATACATGTACTCTCCCAACATTAGCACCAACACTTTTTTCTCATTTATAAGATAAGAAAATTTCAGAAAGTGTGTCATTTCTTCAGAGAGACAGACAGGCACAGAGACACATGCACAAACAAAGAGAGAAATACATTTAAATAGATAAAAAAGAGATAGAATATTCCAGGGAGAAGATATTAGGAATTTTCCTAGATAATAAACACCTGAAAGTTGCTAAATATTTGTTCAAAAATTTTTAGCTTGTCAAATAGCAACTTTACAAACTTATGAATAGCCTCAATTAACCTTTTCATGCTTTTTGACATCGCCATACTCAGTTATCTTTGGATTAATTTTCACTTTAAGTAAGTGACAGCAATGCATGAAATTGCTTATGAAACTGGACTGTTACCATATACAGCTAGACTGGAAGGACAGTTCTATTTCTTCCTCTAATGCTGACATTGTATGGTTTGGGCATTGTTTTGCTGTTGTTGTTTGGTGGGGGGGCGTGATGAGGCAGGGTCTCCCTACAGCCCCAGCAGGCCTGAAACTTGTTACATAGACCAAGCTGATCTAGATCTCACAGAGATCTGCTTCCCTCTGCCTCCTGAGTGCTGGGATTAAAGGCATGCACCACTATACCCAGTTCGTGGACACTGCTTTTAATTATGAGGTCAAAATAGATTTTTTAAAAACATTCATAAGTTTTAAAAGACCAAGAAAATAATACAAGTTTAGAAAGATCAAGAAAAAAAGAATATTAACATTCTCCAAGATTTTGGAAGCCAAATATTGCAAGTATGTATAGTACTGCATAACTATTTCCTATATACAGACAACACCAGAGTACACACAAGCCTAAACTTTGTTTTCATAATTGCTTTTGTTTTCAATATAAATTCATAAAATATATATGCATTTCTTTAAAAACATAATTTAGTTTTCTGTACTTAAAATATTCTGGAGATGAAATCTAATGGATTTTATAACTTATTTTCTTGTTAATCTTCAATAGTGTGTTCATGAGAGTTAATGACCCTAGTTCATTTATTTTGCTTATGTATAAGATTTAATTATATGTATATACTAAGAAGATTTGTTTTCTGTTCTTTTCATTGTGCTAGCCTGTAAACAATTTGATGTTTTCTTCAAGTTTGTTTGTTTTTCTATAACCAGTTTCATAATGTAAGATGTCAATCAGAAAATTCTCCCAAATGGAATTAAACCATGAAGTTTGTGCACCTTCAGTTACTCTGATTATACCAAATAATTTTCTAAAATGAGTGCAACCCTTTAGCAATTTATATTACACAAGGTGGTGCAGTTGCCTTACATGAAGATAAATGTGTGTGACTCTAAAGATGGACCAATTGTCTTATTGTATTCGAATTTGAGACAGAATCTCACAGTCTCAGACTGACCTAGAACTCAAGAGCCTCCAGACTCAAGGTCCCAAAGTCCTGTCACTAGTGGCATGTGCAACCATACCAAACATCCTTTCATATTCACCAAGACTGACTTTATAAAAAGGTATTAATTAATCCATTCCCCAATAACCACAAATTCAAGTAATTTGTTAAAAACTTTCAATAGTATTAAGATGCTATTTGTTTCCTATTTTTGAAATTAAATAACTCTAAGTAATGATGGTAAAATCTTTTCAACTTAAGCATAAATCAAGACGATGGTACCAAACTACACTAGTAGTTACTGAATTCCTCTAACTTCAAGTCATTATTACCATTAATCTTACTAAATATTAACTCACTGCACCTGGACTCTAATCTGTGATTTTCCCTGTAAAATGTGAGAGGAATAAAATTTTTGAAAAATTCTTAACAGATGTTCTTTCTTCAAGTAAAAGTGCTTTTGTTTTTATCTGAGTTGTGAGTTAAAATACTGCCTGTTTTCATGTTGTCCATATTTACTTAAAAGGGCAGTTAACAATCAAACTATCCCTAACTTGGATGTTTAGGTATGACCTGGATATTGGAAATATACTTTCACAAAACTGAATAAAAAGTAAAATAAGATCATCCTTTCCAAAACTAATATTGCACTCTGGCCAGTGATAAAATTTAAACTTTTAAGGGTGAATTAATAATGGAAAACATGCTTCCCAACACTGGTGAGCTTGATGATAATTTATAACTAATGTTCTTATACTGTATAAAAACTTGACAACAATTGGAATATGTGGATGAATGTGTGAAACAGTGGTTTCCAATGGCCAGTGTATTATCTAATATTACAAAATCATGCACCAGTAAGAGCCATTCATGGTTCACAATATAGTTTTCATACTTGGCAATGTAAACTAACATTCTCTAAATAAAAATGATTCGAGTTCATTCTTCAACATCATCTAAAGTTAAGAATTAGCACCATCTTCTAGATGGGAGATGAAGATTTTAAATTAAAGGTAAATTTCTTAAAGTTACAAAATTATGTAATTGCAGAACTAAAATTAAACCCAAAATCTGTTGTGTGCAGAGGTTCTCACAGTACATCCCAGAGAAATTGTTTCATAGCTCTTGAAAGCTTTAAAATTGTTCTTATTCCCTGAAATCACTATTTAGCCTCATCTGTTTTTGGTAAACCCCCATACATGTTGCTAAGTGCTGTTTAGAGACAGAAATATAGCACATTTCCTGGGATATCTCTTATAGGATTCTTCCAAACAAGAGAATTAACTATTGTGATGGCTAACCCTGGGTGTCAACTTGATTGGATCTGAGATTAACTGAAATGAAAGGGATCTTCTTGATTGGATCATCTAAAGCCGGAAGACATACCTTAAATGTGGGCATTACCTTCTGATGGCAGCCGGTATAAAAGACCAAGGCAGAGGAGAACATGGGGCTTTTTGAGGCTTGCCTTCTCTCTCGCTGGTGAGTTTGTCTTGCTGCTGTAGACTGAAGACTAGCTGATATTTTGGAATTTGTCAGACCTTCAGCACCGGATTGGGACTACTGAGACATCCAGCCTTGTGGACTGAGCAACTACAGATTCTTAGCCTCTCCAGTGTGGTGCAGCCATTGGTAGACTACTCGGACTCTATCCTGTGAGATAAGCTGATAAATCTCTATACATATTCATTCTACTGGTTCTGTTTCTTTGGAGAACCCTGACTAATACAGATTGTGGTACCAGGAGTGGTTCTAGAGAAACAGAATTGAAAG